TTTATTTTCTTGCATGAAACAAAAAGTCTATTTATACAAATTCATCATATGCATAAAATTATATTTTCTTGGAGAAATTGCTTTATCCTTCTTCAAAGTATACTGTTTCTTTCATTACATTTAATGATCCGCATATGTTGCAAATTATTGCGCTAAAATACCATCTCTTGCTCTCTCTGTGAAATTCTGTAGTCCTTAGGATGAATTGTTATAGACATAAGGCATTGGCTTTTGTTCTCGAATTTCAGCTTACAAGCAACTTAATATGTTACTGAAATTGAAATGTAGCCCTTGGAACATGGAAATTGATAAAACATATATAATAAACATGCATGAGCTGCAAGCTTGTCGGTTGCTCTATTCCCATTTCGAGGAAGAAATTAACAAATCACAATCCAAGCAAGCAAATATTATGGTTTAAATGAGTTTCCCTTTGGTTTTCTATATCCTCTATGTTGATGTTCTGTTTCTGAGGTGTTTATAGTTGGTCTTGGAATATGCGCACTGAGATCACGAAGCATTGAGAATGCAGATGGAAGTCCAAAAGCAGCTTCTTGAACAGGTATGAAATTCGTGTTCTGTGACAATATTTGTTTTAATCTGAAGGTGGCATACAATTTGATATTAAACCATTCTCTTTTCTAAGTTGAAAACGTGGCTGATGAATAACACAAACAGAAAATATTCGTGCTTTGTGAAGAGCTTGATCTTGAAATTGCTACAAACATTGCAGAAATAGGCAAGTAGAAACATATACTAATGCAGCCTAGTACTACTGACATGTGTGATAAGTGATCTTGTCTGAATTCTCAATTTTTTATGGATAGTAAAATTTCTCAACGGAGGCACGATCAAAGTCTTGTTTCATAAGTTCTACCATTTATTATCTGTAGCCTTGTGAAAATGATACAGCTTGCCGAGAATTTACTGGACATTAGAGTTTACATATTCAAAGGAAATCAGAAATTATATTTCTTTTTCCCTTCGCATTACACCTCCTCAGATTCAAAGAACATTGAAGCGTCGTAAAGAAGAACGAGTACTTGTCCCAATAGATGCGGGTTAAGTTTTATTTTGTTGCAATTGAATTATTGATCGATTAAATCTTGCGAAATGTAGAACTCCCGAAATGCCTTTTTGGATATTCCTCAATGTCCCGGCTATTCACGGAACGTGAGAAGTAGATGCTCCACTGATCAAGAATCTCAATTTTTGGGAAGTGTAATGATCATCCAATAAGAAGGGAGATATAGAACATCATATAAGTTATCATGCTTGCATATCCATCATTTGAGTCGACCAAAATATATATCATCTAGGAAGTTGAGTAATTCCCCCTTTCTTATAAGTTGGAAAGTAGAACCATGTTTAATAAGTGGAACTCATTAGCTGTCTGTTCTCAAGTTGGGCAGTAAGGGTCGGAAGGGAGGATTAGGGAAATCCTCTTTATTGCAGCTTTCTCCAGACCTCCGGGATTTCATTTCCTTGTAGTACTACGGGCTTGCAACAGCTTCTTCTTCTTTAATCATCTCGTGCGTTGGAACCCATGGTTATGGACAGGCCCGGTCCTGGGCCGAGGCGAATAAGGCCTCCGCCTCAGGCCCAAGATCTTAAGGGGCCTCATTTTCGTCCCTTTTTTTTTTTTAATCCATCCGGCCCAAATGAAATGCCCAATCCAATAACTAAACCAATCCCAACCCAACAATACATAAATCCCAACCCATCAATCCATTTATCCAAATCAAATCCAATCCAATCCCTAAATTCCCAAAATAATTCATATGAAAATTCAAGAATTGCCTCCGACTTTCACAACTGTGAAGCCACCGTGACTCCCCTCTCAACATTGACACAGTCCGGGCGTCCGGTGAGTGACGACGATGGTGAGTTCACCACGAATCTTATCTTCCTTGGCCCTTCTTCTAGCGTCTGCTTCTGCTGAGTGCTGGCTGTGCTACCGAGTCCCGACTGCCGAGTCACCTAACTATCTTTCGACCGGAGCTGCAGAGCAATATTGATGGCATAACTGGATTTAGTAAAGACGATTCGAAATCAGTTTCTAGCTTCATGACATATGCAGTTGGTTTGGCAAAATCTGGTGTTAGCTCGGTAACTACCTAATGCTTTCTGGATGCCTTTGCATCATTAAATACATTCTACTTTGGTGCCGTATTTGAAATGAATTTATCTCCTTTTCACATTTATTGCTTGAAATTCCATTAGAGTTGTAATTTACTAGTTTCCAGATAAATTATTTAGACATGTCGAAATGGAAAAGGTATGAAATTATAAATCTGAGTGAATGATAAATGAAGTGAAATTATCTTCTGTATGCCGCATTATCATTGTGCCTTTGTGAGAAATGAGATGAAATCCTACTAGATTGGCCTTGTAGGCTTCTATGATCCTAGGTAAAAGAGAGAACTTCACTTGTAATTTTTCAATGTGTTTATTCAAATGTAATGGAAGATCTACGTGAAAGGGCCATTACAAGGGCTTAGCAGTGCAGCTTAAACTGTTTAAGATATTCTGCTAGAGCGTGCTGGCTGATTTTGCACGCATCTATATACATTCTGGTTATAGATATTGAGTGACCTATTGTCCATCCTATGCCTTTTTCTTTGCTTTTTATCTTGGAAGATACTTGTACTTAGGATTGGTTGTTGGTCTTTTATAAACTCACTCTTTCAGGTCGTGAATGCTGCTGTCATTGTGGATCCTTCAACTATGCAGGTCATAGCAAGCTCACATGACTAAGTCCTATCTTGTAATACTTCCATAAAAGAAAGCAGCATGCAACTTTCCAGAAGCAGCTCAATTTAATTTCATCAAAGACAAAAATTGTCAGTCATTTCTTTCAAGATGTTCATGTTCATCCAAGGACACAAAGCATTCTTACAATGGTGTTTCTTGTTTACGTCCATGGAGCTGGTTTGAACATGAATTACATACGTGTTCTGGTTCTTGGCATCCTTTACAACATGCTGTGATTGTAGCAATTGAAAATTCTGCCGTGAGGGATAGGCATCTTTTTCTGGGGAATGGACACAGTGCGGAAGAATATGTACAAGAGGACTATAAGGTGTCCTTTCCAACAAGTTCTCTTTTGAAAAGACAAAAGATTAACCTTGCAAATGTAACTTTGCATTATAAAATGTTATATGTCAGAGATAACTTGTTAATATATCTGGAGGGCTTAGTATGAGACGATCATGTTTTTTTTTCCAATAATCAAAACTTTCATAATTGCAATTGCATTATATTTTACCGTGGCAAAATTTTATTCCATTGTTTTTCTTCATTTACTAAATTTGACAACAATGTTTGTATCTTTTAGGTAAAAGATGATGGGAATATGATCTGTTTTGCAATAAACTGAATCGATGGAGTGCTCTTTCTTGTGATGTTAGGTAACTTAGGTTGCCAATAATTAACCTCAGGGTCTTCCTAAATTCTGGCCAGCTTACTTGGAAGACCTTATTTCTTTATCCTCTGCTCATAATCACTAATGAGTCAAGTTTTAGTTGAAGTAGCCCCACATATTTTATCGATAGCTAAAATGTTGATTAGAGAAGTAAATTTCTTGATATATGGATCAATTATTTTGTAATAGTTTAACTAGTTATTTTGGAATAGTAGTCTATATTTTGGCATATTGTATTCGACCAGACTCAAGACTTTTTTTCATTGAATTTGTATTTCCACAATTTTCGTCAAAATTTCGCTTATCAGGTAAGCAATGGCTTACCCTAAGTTGTTATTGAAGAGATTGTAAATGTTTGAAGTCTTGTCGGCTTATATAATTGCAGCCTGGTCGGCTTATATGATTGCTTATTGTAGGATGAACAATTGCACAGGCGCACGTAATAACTATATTGGAAATTGTAATTGTATGATAACTGAGATATTTTGTAATTATTTTTTAGGTTAATCATTGGATATTAGACATAGACTCATGCACTATGCCTCTTAAATATGAGTCTGGTGCTCAAAAGAGGAAAAGAAAACGAAATGAAATTGCATTAATTCAAAGTCAAGCAGGGGATATTAGCAAGTACTTCAAAAGTGACAATGTGAATGCGTTGAATGAGGATAAGGATGAAGAAGTGAGTCAACCTACCGATGTTAACGAAGTAGATGATAAGGAAGAAGAAGTGATGAAGCCCGTCTCTAATGATGAAGAAGATGATAAGGAAGAAGAGGGTTGTTTTTCTCTAAATTTGGATGATCCCGGGAATTGGAAAATTATTGATCAAAAAACAAGGGATTATTTAGTTGAAAGGGGTCCAAAAAGAGTTGATGACATCTCGTTTCCAAAAGACTATACAAATAGACATTTCGATTCTTCACAATATAAGCGATTGCTACCAAATGGGAAAGCAGTTGATAGAAGATGGCTAGTATATTCAGTGTCTATGGACAGGATCTTCTGCTTTTGTTGTAAGTTGTTTAAAATACCAATAAATGTGACAGAAGTTGGCCAACTAGGTAATGATGGGTTCAAAGATTGGCATAATTTGCATCGGTCTATTAAAAGTCATGAAGGAAATGAGGAGCATTTACGTTGCATGACTAGTTGGATTGAATTGGAAAATAGGTTTCGATCAAAAACTACAATTGATAAAAGCGTTGAATTGTTGATTGATGCTGAAAGAGAACATTGGAGACATGTATTAACAAGGATAATCGCTATTGTTAAAAGACTTGCGAAAAACACATTGTCATTTCGAGGAGATGATGAGAGGCTACATGTTGAGAACAATGGCCTATTTTTACAAATGGTCGAAATGATTAGTGAATTTGATCCAGTAATGCAAGAGCACCGTCGGCGGGCTAAAGCAAAAGAGATTCAATATACGTATCTTGGCAAAAAAATTCAAAATGAGTTGATACAGTTGTTGGCTAATCAGGTGAAAAGTTCAATTGTCAAGAAAGTTAAAGATACAAAATATTTCGCAGTTATACTTGATTGTACTCCAGATGCAAGTCAGGAGGAGTAAATGTCTTTAATTGTACAATTTGTAGATAATTCGTCAAACTTACTTACAGTTCAAGAACATTGGCTAGAATTTTTGAAGGTAGATGACACAACAGGACTTGGACTTGCAACCGAGCTTCAAAAGGCTTTGATAAAAATTGATCTCGATATTGATGACATTAGAGGGCAAGGGTACGACAATGGATCTAACATGAGCGGGAAGTACAAAGGTGTGCAAAGAAGAGTCCATGAAATGAATCCTCGAGCTTTCTATACTCCATGTGGCGCTCATAGTCTAAATCTAGCATTATGTGATATGGTGAACTGTTGTTCCAAAGCTGTATCCTTCTTCGGAGTGATACAACGCATCTATACATTGTTTTCCTCTTCTACTAAGCGATGGAAAATTTTCAAAGATAATGTTCAAGGATTGATAGTGAAGCCATTGTCACAAACACGTTGGGAAAGTCATGTTGAAAGTGTGAAGCGTATAATGGAGCAAACTGCACAGATAAGAGATGCATTACTTGATTTAGCAGAAATTAATGAAGATCCTAAAGTGAAGAGTGAAGCCGAGTCATTAGCAACACATAAACTTCAAAATTTTGAGTTTTTGTTTGGCATGATAATCTGGTACAGATTGTTGCATACTGTTAATATTGTGAGTAAATTTCTTCAAACCGAATCCATGGATATTGATCATGCTATTGACCTCTTGCAAGGACTTGTTTCATTTCTTGAAGAATACAGAGAAATTGGATTTACTATTGCCAAAAATGAAGCGACAAAAAAGGCAAGCGAAATGAGAATTGAAGCTGTATTTACAGAAAAACGCATTATTCGAAGAAAAAAACAATTTGATGAAAGCGGTAGTAATGAGGTAAAGCAATCAGCAGAAGAATCTTTTAGAGTTGAGTACTTTATTTTTATAATTGATCAAGCTCTATCTTCTCTGAGGACCCGATTTGAACAATTTAAACAATATGATGATACATTTGGATTTTTGTTTAGTTTGAAGAGGTTAAGAGGTGCAACTTTTTCAAGTTTATTGAACTCTTGCTTGAATCTTGAGAAATATCTTCAACATAATGGGCGTTCGGATATCAGTGGGGATGATTTATGTTCGGAGTTACAAGTGTTGAGGTGTTACATACCAAGTGAAGCAACAAGAGCAATTGAAGTGCTACAATATTTGAAGATATTGGATGTTTGTTTTCCAAATGCTTATATTGCTTACCAAATTTGTTAACCATACCGGTTACAGTTGCATCTGCAGAAAGAAGTTTCTCGAAATTAAAGTTGATGAAAACCTATCTCCGATCAACTATGTCGCAAGAAAGATTAAATGGGTTGGCTATGCTATCAATAGAAAAAGAAATGGTTAAGCAGCTATATTATTCAGATTTGATTGATGTTTTTGCCTCTAAAACAGTAAGAAGAATAGTATTTAACTAATTGTTTGAAATTTTTGGTTTGATGATTTATAATATAAATCGTTTTTATAATATATTTCGTTGTTGTTTTAATGTTAGTTTTTTAAGTTAGCAATGAGTCGCGTAATACACCTTTAAATTTTGTCGCTGGGGGCCTACTTTTCATATTTCGCCTCAGGGCCCATTAGATACAGGTTCGGCTCTGGTTATGGACCCGAATCCATTAGTATGGAACATTTTCTTTTCCAAGTAAAAGTGTGGGTTTTTGAACCAACCTGTATATGGAAAATCGGTGCGATATTGAACTCTATACTCATCAGACCATCCACCCGATAAAATACATACTCAGAAGTAAACAGAGAGCGTCCTGACTTATTGAAAGTCATAAGAAAATTAGTATTGATTATGTTAAAACTACATGGATATATGATAGTAGACTAGCAAGTAAAATCCAAAACTACTTATTCATGATTACGCCTTTTAGCTTATTTCTTCTTTACCTTGCGGTGCCCCTTATTTTGTATTAAAATCCAAACACAAATTCTACAAGCCATCTAGGTTTTTCATAATTAAACATCAAATGTCGTGCAACTAGACCGAATAACATTCCACATTATAACCCATGATGACGACTTGCCAGGTGAGCACATCCAAAATACAGAAATCATCATCTTGTGGCAACATTGGACTTGGCTGCGTCTTATCGTCATTTACACATTTCTTTGTCAAAGTAGTCCACATGATTCTGAGTTGTTGTCAAATAGTAAGAAGCTGCCCTTGCACAGATGTTGGCCCAACAAGATGATTGTACAAAAGGTTAAAGAATACAGGGCCGGTTCTAGCCCAAGGTCACTGCTTTATTGGCCTTGGGCCTCAGAGTATAATGGGGCCTCAAAATTTTTTGGAAGCCCAAAAATAACTATTATAGAATTTCCTCAATTTTCTTACATTAAATATTTTATGGTAGTGCAAATAAAGTAGGGTCCTTTTTACCAATAATGTCTTTCAATTTATTGTTGCTTTTGAATTTTATTTTTAAATATAAGATATTTTTGATAATAAATAGTAGGCACCATCCTCATACCTTACTGATTTTCATAAAATCTTTATACTATACTTATTGAAAATTAAAATTGATTCTCTAACCAATCAAACGATGAGTGAATACTAAAGGTATAATATTTCTGATCATGAAAAATTGTTCGATTCGGCCATGTTTGTTGCCAATATACTTGTTAAAAAAATTTCAGGACCGACCCTAAAAGAATGACAGGGATGTCATGTCATTTGCCAGTGAATCTCTCCTACCCATTGGTTTGTACATAGGTCCAATGATTTCAGTGAAATCAAATATCCTAGGGACGAGGGGATAGGATAGTCAAACTGTTATAAGATAAGTTCAGAGACTATTATTAGATGCTATATTTGTTATTTGTTTCCTGTTATTGTGGCTTAAGTTACTACATTTCTGTTGATGTAAGGCCTATATAAAGAGTTGCCCGTATGAATAAAAGTATCAAGCAATTATTTCCAGAATTACTGTGGTTTACTCTTACCCAAAATAGAGATATTTTGGAAGCTTTGGCTGGGACCATCAACTGGTATCAGAGCTGCGTTATAATGGCTACTAACAGAGAACGTATTGAAGCATTCAAGACAGGGCTCGATGGGGTTCAAGAGGGAATGCATCGGATGAACTTGGGCATGACGGACAAGCTGAACCATCCAAAAGCTCTCAGATGCTCTCCTTTCAAGCAATGCCTCATCCAATCACAACAACCGTGAACGTGAAGGCCAATCTCGTTTCCCCAGAGATGAAATGGAGGGGAGCAACCCAATTGTTTTCTCTAAAACGACGCGGTTGGAGTTCCCCGAGTACACCGGAGAAGACCCAACAGAATGGCTCGTAAGAGTGGACCAGTTCTTTGAATTCCAAGGAACAAAGGAAGACCAGAAGGTGTCTTTGGCTTCCTTTCACCTGGAAGGTGAAGCCAATCAGTGGTGGAGGTGGCTCCGGCGGACATACAAGGAAGAAGGCAAGGAAGTGTCGTGGGCTGCCTTTGAGGAGGAATTGTGGGCACGATTTGGTACAACTGAAGGAGAAGACTTTGACGAAGCCCTCTCACACGTTCGGCAAATGGGTCTCAACGTGATTACCAGCAGGAATTCGAAAGACTAGGAAATCGCGTGCATGGGTGGACACAAAAGGCTTTGGTGGGTATCTTTATGGGGGGGGGGGGGGGGGGGGG